AGTCACAGGCAGTGGGTGACCTGGCCCTGCAACAGAGCCCCTCCCAAGAGGCCCCAGAACCAACATACCTGGAGATTGGCTTCAGTCCACAGTAGGGTACCACCCAATTGGGCACACAGGGGCACACGCAAAGAGCAGTCTCAGAAGGCACTAGAGCCCACTGGGAAGAATCCTGCTCCATAGGGTAAGCATCTCCCACAGCAGCCTGTAAGATGTGGATGTGGCCAAACCCCAGAGGCAAGTCAGCCTGAGGGTCAATCTCACCCACTGATGTGCCAACAGCAATCAAGGCTCAACTGTAAAAGGAGGCCACACACAACCCACACAAGGGGCACCCCTGAAGCACGTGGTGCAGGTGACTAAGGTACCACAGGGCACCTACTACATAAGGCCACCCACCCAAGACTGGCAGATGTAGCAGATCTACCTAATACATAGAAACAAACACAGAGAGACAGAGAAAATGAGGAAACAAAGAAATATGTCCCAAATTAAAGAACAGGAGAAAACTCCAGAAAGAGAACTAAACAAAATGGAGGCAAGCAACTTACCAGATATAGAGTTCAAAACAATGGTTATAACAATGCTCAAGGAACTTAGTGAGAACTGCACTAGAAGAAATCACCAGAAGACTAGATGAAGCAGAGGATCGGGAACAAATCAGCAATTTGGAAGACAAGGTAGCAGAAAACACCCAATCAAAAAGCAAAAGAAAAAAGAATTTTAAAAAATGAGGATAGTTTAAGAGACCTCTGGGAAAACATCATGCATCATAGGTGTACCCTAGGAAGAGACAGAGAGCAAGGAGTTAAAAACCTATTTGAAGAAATAATGATGAAAAACTTCCCTAACCCAGTAAAGGAAATAGACACACAATTCTTTGAAGCCCAGAGAGTCCCAAACAAGATGAACCAAAACAGGCCCACACCAAGACACACAGTAATTAAAATGGCAAAGGTTAAAGACAAAGAGAGACTACTAAAAGCAGCAAGAGAAAGGCAACTAGTTACTTACAAGTAAACTCCCATAAGATTGTTAGTTGGCTTCTCAACAGAAACTTTGTAGGCCAGAAGGGATTGACATGAAATATTTAAAATGATAAAAGAAAGAACCTGCAACCAAGATTACTCTACCCAGCAAGGCTATCATTTAAAATCGAAGGAGAGATAAAGAGCTCCCCAGACCAAGAAAAAGCTAAAGGAGTTCATCACCACCAAACCAGTACTACAAGGAATGTTATGGGGATTTTTCTTGAAGAAGAAGAAAGGGGAAAAGAAAAGTATTATAAAGATGAAACATAAAATGGCAATAACTGTGTGTCTATCAATAATCGCTTTAAATGTAAATGGATTAAATGCTCCAATCAAAAGAAATAAGGTAGCTGAATGGATAAGGAAACAAGACCTGTACATATGCTCTCTACAAGACACCAATTGCAGATCAAAAGACACACACAGGCTGAAAGTAAATGGATAGAAAAAAGTATTTTATGTGAATAGAAATGAAAAAAATGGGGTGGCAATACCAATACCAGACAAAATTAACTTTAAAACAAAGGATAAAATAATAGACAAAGACGGACATTACATAATGATAATGGGGTAAATTTAACAAAACGATAACATTTGTGAACATTTATGCATCCAAAATAGGATCACCTAAATATATAAAGCAAATATTGACCAACATAAAGGGAGAGCTTGAGAGTAATACATTAATAGCAGGGGACACTGACACCAATGGACAGATCTTCAAGACAGAAAATCAACAAGGAAATAGCAGCCTTAAATGACACACAAGACCGGATAAATTTAATTGACATTTTAAGAACATTTCATGCTAAAGCAGCAGAATACACATTCTTTTCAAGTGGAATATTTTCCAAGATAGACCACATGTTAAGCCACAAAATAAGTCTCAATAAATTTAAGAAAACTGATCATATCAAGCCTCTTCTCTGACCACAATGGTATAAAACTAAAAATTGATTACAAGAAAAGAAATGAAAACCACACAAACACATGGAGGCTAAATAACGTGCTAATAAATAATAAATGGGTCATCAATGAGATCAAGGAAAAAATGAAAAAATACCTTGAGACAAATGAAAATGAAAACACAATGCCCAAAATCTATGTGACACAGCGAAAGCAGTCCTAAGAGGGAAATTCATAGCAATACAGGCCTACCTCAAGAAACAAGAAAAATCTCAAATAAGCAATCTAAACTCACACCTAAAGGAACTAGAAAAAGTACCACAAACAAAGCCTACAGTGAGTTGAAAGACGCAAATAATAAAGTTCAGAGTGGAAATAAATGAAATAGAATCTAAACACAAACACACACACACACACACACACACACACACACACACACATCAATGAAAACAATAGCTGGTTCTTTTAAAAGATAAACAAAATTCATAAACCTTTAGACAGACTCCTCACGAAAAAAAGAGGACCCAGATGTAAAATCAGATATGAAAGAGGAGATATGACAACTGCCACCACAGAAATACAAAGGATTAAGAGAAAATATTATGAATAATCATATGCTTACAAATTGGACAATCTGGAAGAAATGGATAAATCTCTAGAAACATACAGTCTTCCAAGACTGAATCAAGAAGAAATAGAAAATCTAATCTGACTGATAACTACTAACTAAATCAAATCAACAATAAAAAAACTCCCACCAACAAAAGTCCTGAATCACATGGTTTCACAGGTAAATTTTGCCAAAGATTCAAAAAGAGTTAAACCTATTTTTCCAAAACTGTTCCAAAAAATTCAAGTGCAGGAAAGCTCCCAAGCTTATCTTATGAGACCACCATAACCTTGATTCCAAAACCAGATAAAGACATTACAAAAAAAAAGAGAAAATTATAGGCCAATATCCCTGATGAACATAGATGAAAATCCTCAACTGAATATTAGCAAACTGAATACAGCAATACATTAAAAATATTATATACCATGATCAAGGGGATTTATTCCTGGGATGCAAGGTTGGTTCAATATCCACAAGTCAATTAATGTGATACGTCACATAAACAAAATGAAAGCTAAAAACCATATGATCCTATCAATAGATGCAAAAAACAACATTTGACAAAATTTAGCGTCCATTCATGATAAAAACTCTCAGCAAAGTAGAAATAATGGAAACATATGATGTGTGATCAAACAATATGGTGAATGTTTAAATTTAAAAAAATTATTACAGTAAAATACACATTGCCATTAATCCCCTCAAAATACTTCCCCTTGCTTCGAACACACTTATCCCATCATTCTTGTCACTTTCTTCTTTTTTTTTTTTTAAGATTTTATTGGGGAATTGGGGGAGGGAACAGTGTTGGGGAATTGGGGAAGGGGAACAGACAAGTTGCTGTCCTTTTGTTCTTTAGTCTAGTTGTGGAGGACATCGCTTCACTGGCCCATGTTGGTATTGTGATTATTGCACTCTTCCCGGCTGAGGCAAATCGGTCACCGGCCACTGGATGGCCGCTCATGGTGGCTCACAACAGGTCATGCTGGATGCTGGCCACTCATGCTGGCTGTCAGCCACTCACGGTAGCTTACGGCAGCCCACTGCAGCCCCACTGCAGCCTATGTCAGCGACTCACAGCACCCCAGCTCCAGGTCAAGCTGTTGTTCACCATCTTAGATATAGAGGGTGCAGCGTCACTGGCCTACATGGGATCCGAACTCGCAGCACTGCTGCTCAGAGCTCCCACTCCCAAGCCAACTCTTAACCAACGAGCCACTCGGCCAGCTCTCACCTTATTTTTTGATCACCATCACATCACTTGTGCTACAGCAAATTCTGTCAAATAAAAACATTATGGTATATCTTTGTCCACATTAGTCACCGGATTTGGCATCATGCGACTTCTGGCTCTTACCCAAAGTCAAAATGACCATGAAAGGTAAATGTTTTAAATTGATTCAGGACATTGAGACAGTCATGACAGAGCAACTAAAGACACACAAAAGAGAACTTCCAGAACTGCTTCAGAAAGTAGCAAGAACAATGGGATAAGTGTGTTTGAAGCGAGGGGGAGTATTTTGAGGTGGATTAATGGCCAATGTGTCTTGTACTATAATAATTTTTTTTTTAATTTAACCCTCTCTCAAGCGCAACTGATCTCCCAGATTCATTGCACACAAAGATGCCGCTATGAAATACATCTTTACTGTACTAACAAAAATGACTGGTGATAGGTTATGGTAGAGGTGGAAGATATGGAAGCGATGAGTCATGATACTTAAGTTAACTGTTAGATATTTGAAAATTTGTGTACAATGAATCTGTGAGATCAGTTGCGCCCGATGGAGGGTTAAACATTCACCATATTCTTTGATCACACCTCATACACTAGCCAAGATATGGAAGGAACACAAGTGCCCATTAATAGATAACTGGATAAAGAAGAGGTGGTACATATATACAATGGAATATTACACAGCCATGTAAAAGAATGAAATCTTACCATTTGCAACAACATGGATGGACCCAGAGGGTATTCTGCTAAGTCAGATAGAGAAATACAAATACCACATGATCTCACTTATATGTGGAATCTAAAGAACTAAATAAATGAACAAATAAAACAGAAAACAGACTCATAGGTACAGAGAACAAACCAATGGTTGCCAGAGGGAAGGGGGGTTGGAGAGCGGGGTTAAAGAGGTGAAGGGATTAAGAAATACTTGTACAAACGGACAGTTACAACATAGTCACGGGGATGTAAAGTACAACACAGAAAATAGAGTCAATAATGTTGTAACTACTATGTATAGTGCCAGGTAGGTACTAGACTAAATGGGGGGATCACTGCATAAATTATATAAATGTCTAACCACTATGCTGTACATCTGAAACCAATATAAAGTAATATTGAATGTGAACTGTAACTGAAAAAGATAAATAATTCATTAAAAAAAATAAATAAACAAAATAGATATTGCAAACATAGTACAAATGGTCTGTCTTACCTTTAAATATTTCATCAGCTTCTGAATTTTCCAATATTCTGATGGCAAATCTGCATTTGCTTCCTGACGATGATCAGGTGGCTCTTCATCTTCTTCACTCTCTGAGGAGCTCTCACTCATAATTTCCTCAACCTTGTCAGCATTCTTACTAAGAACAATAACAACAACCTATGATGAACATATTAATGCTACAGCATAGATATGGTTATAATGTTACTTTTTCAGTTGCACATACGTAAGTGATAAAAACACAGAAAATCAAGAACAGAGGGGAACTTACCGTACTCAACCTGATAAAGAACATATACAAAACCTATAGTATTGTCATACTTAATGGTGAAAGACTTAACGCTCTCCCCCTCAGATTGAGAACAACCAAGGTGTTCACTTTGACCACTGCTGTTCAACACATTACTTGAGTCTCTAGTTTTAGACAGAAATCTAAGAAAACTTGCATAGGATGTGTATGCTGAAAACTACATAATGCTGGTGAAAGAAATCAAAGGCCTAAATAAATAGAGAGACATATAGTGTTCATTCATTCTAAGAGTTGATATAGTTAAGATACCAATTCTCCCCAAATTGGTAGAGGTTTAATGCAGTTTTCATGACAATCTTCAATAAGTTTTTCTGTAGATATAGCAAGATTATTCTAAATTTATGTAGAAAGAAAAGAAACTAGACTAGCTAAGACAATTTTTGAAAAAAAAGAAAGTGAGAAAAATCATTTTCCAGATTTTAAGATTTACTATATAGCTGCAGTAATCAAGACAGTGTGGTATTGGTGAAGGGTTAGATATAAAAATCAACTGAACATAATAAAGACCCAGACATAGACCCATACATGTATGCCCAACTGATTTTGACAATGGTGCAAAAGCAATTCAATGGTGGAAAGTAGCCTTTTCTTCAAAGGGTGCTGGAGCAACTGGACATCCATAGTCCAAAGAAAAAGAAAAAGGAACTTCAACCTAAATCTCACACCTTATATAAAATTAACTCAAGCTGAATTACAGTATTTAATGTAAAACGTAAAACTATAGAAACTCTTAAAAAAAACACAAAGGAGATAATTTTCAGTACTAAGGGCTTCATGAAGAGTTCTTAGACATGCCATCTAAAGCACAATCCATAAAAAAAATTGATAAATTGAACTTCATCAAAATTAAAATCTTGTTTTATGTGAGACCCTATATTAAGAGGATGCAAAGACAAATTACAGAGAGGAGAACATATTTGCAAACTACATTCCAACCAAGGATATCCAAAAATAGATAAAGAACTCTAAAAATTCAACATTTGAAAAATTATTGAATTGGAAAATTAGCAAAAGACATAATGAGACATTTCACTGAAGAACATATATGGATAGCAATAGCTCATAAAAAGATGTTCAACATCACTAACCATTAGGGAAATGCTAAGACCACAAAAGGACATCACTATGCATCTTCAAGAACAGTTAAAATAAAAGACATGGGCAATACCAAATGCTGGCAAGGATAAGGAGAAACTGAGTCTCATACACTGTTGGTGGAAAGGGAAAATAGTATGGCTACTCTGGAAGAATTTGGAAATTTCTTAAAAAGCTAAACACACAATTACTATATGTATCAGCAGTTGGGCATTTATCCTAGAGAAATGAAAACTTACATCCATACAAAAACCTGTATATGACTGTTGATAGCCGCTTTGTTATTAATAGCCAAAAACTGCAAAGAACTGAAATTTCCCTCAGTAGGTGGATAATTAAACTATGGAAAATCCATATCATAGAACGGTATTTAGCAATAAGGGACAAACTATTAATACACACAACTTAGATGGCTATTAAAGGTGTTATGGGGATGAGAAAAAGGCCAGTATCAAAAATGTGTGATTCTACTTATATGACATTCTCAAAATGACAAAATTATAGAAATGGAAAAGAGATTAATGGTTGCCAGGAATTGAGAATGATCAGGGGACGGGAGTGGGTATGGCTATAAAGGGGTAGCAGGAGAGTTCTGTATGGTGACAAAACAGCTCTGTATCTGGATTGTCATGGTCACCACACCAATCTACATGTGATAAAATGACATGGAACTATACATATACATTGTACCAATGTGAATCTCCTGGTTTTGATATTGTACTATAGTTACCCATGATGCAACCACTGCGGGAAGTTACGTGAAGTGTAGATGAGACCTCTCTGTACTATCTGTGCAACTTTCTGTGAATCTAAAATTATTTCAAAATAAAATTTTTAAAAATTGTCAAAAAATGGAATAGTTTATTATGTTGAACCACCCCACCCCCCCAAAAAAAATAGCATAAATGGAGTAGATTATCTTAAAGTTTGGTTTTATCCCAAACTTGCAAACTTTAAATGCAAAATTTCTGCCATTTCTTCCCACCACGACTCTAAAACTCTCTAATAAGAGAGGCTGACCCTCCTCCAAATATGTTGCTTTTGTTGTCAAACTGAAAATTGGGTAAGAAGTTTATAGCCTCGCATTAATGGCTCCTTTAATGAGAAATAACAATGCATCACTTTAGAATTGACAGAGCCATCAGTGATCAGTAAAGGAAGGCTCAGAAAGATGATTCGACCTTGCTATGATACGATCGTTCAGAGGCAGGAGATCAGCTAAGAGCCCATGTTCCTACCACTCAGTTCACTGCTCTTTGCATTAAATACATTGTATAGGGTTAACTAATACTAGTAAATCCTTGTATTTCAAGTAACTCTGCATTGAAAGGATATCTTGTGAATACATTTTTAAAAAGCCAGTATTATCATTTTTACAACATTCCTAGTCACTGTCAATATAAATGTCTTAGGGACCTCATATAATAGTAAGAATGCCATAATTAGCATTAACTAGTCTGTTGTGTAAGAAATAGCCTTAAAGAACTTTCCATGTCAACAGAAACATACTGAGCTAATTGTGCTCTTCCAGGTGAAACAGACAGTGTTGACTTGTCAGGTCTTCCTCCATGTTTTTCCTCTTGGGTGTCTCTTAGGGAGATTTTGCGGCTAAAAAAATATATATATATATATATTACCTTTATTAATTACTTTATGCTGATTAACAGGAAATTACAAATAGAAATGTATACAAATATTCCATCATTTTCATACACACAAAGGATCTGTTTTCCTGACACAGGAGAATGATGATCAGTTCCAGCCTCATTTGATACCCTTTTGTCCTTTAAGTACAGCCGTGCATTTTCTATAATGCAGCAATATTTTGTCCAGTATTTCTTTGTACTAGGAACAGGTCTTCACAGGCTGCCATTGTTGTGACAGTCCTTCACTCTCTGCCTTCTAATCTAGTGGCTTACTGCCCTGATCACTGTCGCCTCTTCTTACCCTCCCTACCCAACATTACAGCAGGGCCTTACCTGGTTTTCCAGGTGTTCCCAGGTTTAGCAAAGTCCTTGGCACCCACTGGGTTTTCATGAAATACTTAAGTAAATGCTTAATTGAAAACAATAAGCACATGGGAAAAGCAGAATTTAAAATTCCACCTCCCGGTTAACAGAGTAGCTCACATTTGTCATTTTCAGACTCACTCTTTCCAATAGTCACAAAAGTCAAACATCCCAAAATCAATGACAATCAGGAGTGTCTCCTTTTTCCACAGGACTCCTTACTGTCAGCTCTCTGGATTTGCCTCCAAAACAAAATCACCCCATGGTGCTCACAACCCCTGCAGGGGAAGGTTCTCATGTGACCAGCTGGGAGTCAGTTCGTAACCCATCAGAGAACAAAGCAGAACACTAAAAATAATCTGAAACTTGTAAGACTATTTGCTAAATTTTAAAAAGTGCTCTTAGTGCTTCTGACTGTCTTAGCATTTACTTACCACTGGCCCTTAATCTTTGCTTTCGTACCTACTTATAGAGGGTCCTAAACGGAGCTAGTCTTGTATATTTCAGAAATTCATCAAACGAGTGTCCACTTTACTTGAGCCTGTTACTATTTTTCAGGCTCTAGCCTTTCTGTAGTATTTATTTATAAGTTCGGTTTCTAGAGCAGACAGTGGAAGGTTTCCCCTCATTAACGCCATATAATTTTAATCCAAATTCCCCGAGCACTTACCTAGGTCCCTACCACTATGTTTATATACCACATGTGATTGCACCATGTGTTTTATCATCTTTCTCACATGTTATTTGCTCTGACTCACCAACTATGTGAAAGTGAATTATGTTCTTCCCTTCCCTTCACAGTAACCACACATAAACAATGTTGACTGTCAAATTTCTCTGCTTGAAATAAGAAGAGGAACAGGAAGGCATCAACTCGTATTAGGAGGGAGATGATTTTTAACTAGTCTGTATTTTTCTACTATGCAATAAAGTTATAAAAAAATTAGGCAAACGTGGTTACCGACGATGTTTTCAAAAAAAATCCCATCCTGCAAATGTCTACATACTCTTTGACATCAACAGTGGTCTTCCAGTTTAAACTTGGCTCTAATCTCTTGGTCATTTGATTCTTCCCAAAATTAATTTTGTTCTTCTCCAGCTTACTCTTGTTTGAACTAGTAATAGGTTTATGTAAGGCATCTGCGTCTTCCTTCTTCGGTGCCTCCTTAGGCTGATCCTTTACCTTTTGCTGTTCTTCACTGAATCTGGTCTGGTTTATTTAAAAAAAAAAAGTAAGAATAACATTTACAATGACATCACTTCTGAATGATTGAGTACTATCTGAAAATTAACACTGGTGATTAATTCAGAAAAGGAAGTCTCAGATACACCTAACTTGTGTTGCTTAATGATACAAATTGAAGAAGGGCAACTTCAGGCCTGAGGCCTCTATTGGAGTTAGACTGACAGTAATGTGAGTCTAAACTTCACTTCTGGTGTAGCACTGACACAACAGCAGGACTGGACCGCCTCGCTCCTCACCTCCACTAGAGAAAATTAAATTCAAACCCTATATTGACTGGGACTCATCACATGCAAATTGCTGAAACCAAGGATAAAGAGAATATCTTGCAAGTAGCCAGAGATGAAGACGCATTATAGACAGAGGAGGAAACACAGCCATTAAAAGAGCTAGTGGTCACCAGAGGGGAAGGGGGGAGGGGGTGGTAGATGAGGGTAAACAGGTCAAATATATGGTGATGGAAGGAGAACTGACTCTGGGTGGTGAACACACAATGTGATATATAGATGATGTATTACAGAACTGTACACCTGAGACCTGCGTAACTTTACTAACAATTGTCACCCCAATAAACTTGAATTAAAAAAAAAAGGGAGAAGAAAAAAAGAGACTTTTCATCAGAAACAATGCAAGCCAGAAAAAAAGGGAATTATATCTTTCAAGTACTAAAAGGGGGGTGGGGAACTTGTCAGCCCAAAATTCTATACTGAAACAAAACAAACAAACAAAGTCTTTCAAAGATGAAGGTAAAAATACTTTCACAGATGAACAGAAACTGAGAATTCACTGTCAGAAAGCCTGTGCTAGAAGAAACGTTAATGAAGTTCTTCAGTCAGAAGGAACATCATACCATACTGAAACAAGGATCTACACAAAGAAATGAAAATCTGTAGAAATGGTAAAAATAAAGAGAAAAGACTCTAACCTTTATACTCATTCTAAATTTTAAAATAGTAAAAGTGTTTTGAGGGGGCTAGCAGCATGTAAAAGTGAAATGTATGACAACACTGGCACAAAGGATAGGGAGGGGCATTCAAGACACTATGATTTAAACTATTTGTGAAATTGTATAATATTATTTAAAGTCATACAGAATAAATTATATATATATATGTACCTGCATATATAGACATATATGTATATTAAAAGCCCTAAGGCAGCAACTAAGACACTTTTACAGAAAAGTATAATTGTACACTTGAAACCTATGTAATTTTGCTAACCGTTGTCACCCCAATGAATTTCAATTAAAAAAAAGTATAACTGATTAACTAATAGCATAATGAAAATGGAATCATTTCTGAGACTCAATTTAAAAAGGACAAAAAAATAAGATAAAAAGAACAAATGGGACAAATAGAAAATAACTAGCAAGATAGTAAATTTTAATTCAACTCTATCAGTAATTACATTGAATTAAAAAGGCTTAGAAACTTCATTTGAAAAAGAAATCATCAGCTTGGATGAAAAAGGACACCACAACTATTTGTGTTCTAAAAGAAACCATTTTACATATAGAGATATAAATATATTAAAAGTAAAATGCTGAAGAAAATATTCTATGCAAACAATTAAAAGGAAACAGGAATAGCTATATTACAATCAGACAAAATAGACTTCAAAACAAGTAATATTATCAAAGAGGAAGACACATAATGACATAATCAATTAACACACACTTCTGTGTATTCACTACACAACAGAACTTCAAAATACATGATGCAAAAACAGAACTAAAAGGAAAAATACATAAATTCACAATTGGGAAATTGAAAATGGCAGTAATCAATAAAACGAGCAGACCAAAAAATTAATAAGAATATAGGCGACCTGAGCAACACTATTAATCAACTTGACTTAATTGATATTTATAGACCATGCCATGCAAAATACACATTCTTCTCAAATGCACAAGGAAAAATTCACCAGAATACACCATAATCTGGGCCATAAAACAAACATCAACATACTTAAAAGAACTAAAACCATAACAAAATATGTTCTCTTAATACAATGGCGTTAAATTTAATACAATGATAATAACACATCACCACTTCCAAGCAGTGATGGGCTCTTCTACCATGGATGGGTTAAGGGGAGGCCCCGACAGGAAGAATGTAATAAAGTGCTCGCCCCCTTCTACCCAGAGCAGTGTCAGCAGAGGCCCTGTAGGGAGACTGAACCTTCACCCCTGCTCAGCAGTAATGAAGCACCTACACCACCAGAGTTGTCAATGGAGACTAAGTGGGGAACTTGGACTTTTACCCCCACCTTGCAGTACTCCCAGACCTCCACCAGTGAGGTATCCAAGAAGGTCTGCTGAAACAACAGATTTAAATATAATCCAAAGTTTCACAACATAATGTCAAAAATTTCTAACAAACACAAAGAAATCATTTTACTCATTTATACCAAGGAAGATCTCAAGAACCAGGAAGATCACAACTTGAATGAGAAAGGGTGATGAATAGATGCTTTATACCAAGATGAAACAGACATTGGAATAATCTGACATGATTTAAGAGCAGCCATCATAAAAATGCCTCACTGAGCAATTATGGAGACTTGAAACAAATGAAAAACTAGAAAGCCTCAGCAAATAAAGAGAAGGCATAAAGAATAACCAAATAAAAATTTCAAAATTGAAATTTATAAATCAAAATAGCTCACTGATAGGTTCAGGAACAGGATGGAAAGGACATAAGAGAGAATGCATTAATTTTAAGATCTAGCAAGAGAAATTATCCAATCTGAACAACAAAGAGGAAATAGATAGTGGGGGAAAAGATGAACAGAGCCTCAAGATCTGAGGGACCACAAGAAAACAATCTAACATGCCTGTTACCAGAGAACCAGAAGGAGAGGAGTAAGAATACAGACTGAAAATGTATTCTAAGAATGTCTGAAAAGTTCCCAAACTTGGAAAAATATATAAATCTAAGATTTAAGAAGCTGAGCAAACCCTATACACAATAAAACCCCAAAAGCCATGCCAAGACACATAATAATCAAACTCCATAAAACTAAAGACAAGGAAAATTCTTAGCAGCAAGAGAAACAATATTTTATCAAGGGAAAACAATTAAAATAACAGATTTGTTATGAGAAACCATGGAGGCCAGAAGAACTGGAACAACATTTTTCAAGTGCTGAGTGTAAAGAAATGTCAACCCAGAATACCATATCCAGTGAAAATATTCTTCAGGGGTGAAGGAGAATCCAAGATGTTCTTAGATAAAGGGAAACAAACAGAATTTGTCATCAACAGACCTACCCTAAAAGAGTAAATTCTTTTTTTCTTTAATTAAATTTATTGGGGTGATAGTTTAGTGGTTACCAGAGGGTAAGGGGATAGGAGGATGGTAGAAGAGGGTAAAGGGGGTCAAATATATGGTGATGGAAGAGAACTGGGCGGTTAGCACACAATGTGATGTATACATGATGTATTACAGAATTATACACTTGAAACCTATGTAATTTTACTAACTAGAGTAAGTTCTTAAACAGAAAAGATACAATAAAAGAAGGAAACTTGAACCATCAGAAAGAAAGAGAACAATGGTCAGAATAAAAGTAGGGGTAAATACAAAAAAATTTCTCCTCTCGAGTTTTCTAAATGATGTTTGATGGTGGAAGCAAAAATTATAACATTGTCTCACTAGTTATAAATATATGTAGAGAAAATAAAAATAATTGTAAATGAGAGAGGGTAAGGGGTTTAAAGAGAGATATGGTTTCTAGACTTCACACAAACTGGTAAAATGTCAAATAAGTAGATTATTATAAATTATGTATGTATAATATAATACAATACCTATAGCAACCACAAAATCATCTATACAAAAAGATGCATTCAAAACACTATGGGTAAATCAAAATGGAATTCAAAAAAATGTTCAAGGAATCCAAAGAAAAATGAGAGCAAGAAAAATGAAAAACAGAAGTAATTAAAGGAAACAAAGCTAAACCGGCAGACTTAAGCCCTAACCTATCAATAATTCAATGTAAGTTATCTAGACACACCCATCAATAGAGTTTCACAGCGTGGATTTAAAAAATGACTCCTTATATGCTGTCTACAAGAAACTCACTTCGAACATAATGATCTAAGTAGCCTGAAAGCAAAAGGAAGGAAAACATACTCCATGCAAACATTAGTTAAAAGAAAGCAGGAGTGGTTATATTAACATCAGATTAAGTAAACTACAGAAAAAAGAAAATTACCAAGGACAGAGGGACATTACATAATGATAAATGGTCAATCTATCAAGAAGACATACTTCATAGTTGATGTAGAGGCCTGACCACCGCATTGTATTTCTGAAACTGATGTTGAATAATACTGTACGTCAACTATAATTATATATACATATAACCTCGGGACACGGAGTAGAGTGCGGGAACGGATTCAATGGAATTGTAATAGATAAGCATGATATCGGGGGTGGGAGGGCAGTGGATGGGGGGAGGGGGGTTGTTACTTTGTGAGGGTGAAAAGGGTAACTATTACATTGTTCTGTACACCTGAAACTAACAATAAAAAAAAAATAAAAAATAAAATAAAATAAAATAAAATACCTTTACTAAATTAAAAAAAAAAGAAGAAGACATAACGATCCTAAATGCATATACCTAGGTGCAAATACAAAAACAGCTAGAACTGAACAGAGAAATAGACAAATCTACAACACTTCACTCTTAACAACTGATAGAAAATCAGCAAGGATGCAGGAACTCAACATCACCAAAAACCACATGATTTAATCCACATTTATAGAACACTCCACCCAACACAGTAGATTACACATTCTTTTTAAGCATCTAAAACAGTGGTTCTCAACCTGTGGGTCGCGACCCCTTTGGGGGTCGAACAACCCTTTCACAGGGGTCGCCGGGCATTTGTATGTGGGCATATCTGCATGTGGGTCTGGAGACAGACAGAGGAGCGGTGTCTCGGTTCCTAAAAC